GATATCACGGGAAGGTCTAGCAAGTGAATAGTTGCTCAGGCCCTAGAGAATATTTCGACAAATTCCAGTTGGCAGAGACGGCTAAATGCGAACTATAGGATAGGAATAGGGTGGGCAAGAATGAAGCTGCAGGTACAGAGTAGGGTGGAAGTGAAGAAATAATGAGAGACCATCGAAAGCACTGAACTGCTCTGTAAGGTCGGCTGTGGTATGACGGAGAGACGGAGGGGGCAGAGAAGACGAAGCACGCGAGAAAGTCCCCTTACGAGAAGGCACATGCAAGCGGCTGTAGCGGGCGCTTCCAAACAGCTACCGGTAACCGCCGGTAATCGGAAGCTTTGGTAAGATCTAGCGTTCTTGTGGTGATCCTTCGAGCCGTATCAGTGGCGCGTCGGTGACGCTGGCAAACAGCTCTGTTCTACCTATAGAAGGTTTGTGCCGTATCTCTGAGCTAGTATAAAAAACCATGCACCCAAACGCATTCAATCCAAAATTGACGTTCCTTCGAGCAGAAATTGTAGGTGTAGGGAGAGTTCTTCGAGCTAGGAGTGGTGCAGCGGTTGAAGCTGGTGCTACATCTCATTTCCTTGGTGCTGCCTCGTTTCGTCACTTGAAAATTACAATTGAATAGAATTAGATGATCCAGTACAATTAATTTAATATGGATTCAATAATAAATCCAAATATGGTTTTCAGTTTGTGGATGCCACCCAAAAACGCTCTCCTCATTTGGTACCATACGAAGAAGTTGACAACAGAATAAAGGAGGCGAATAAGGTAAGTAATAAAAAATTGCAGAATAACAAATGCAGACTTCTTTTAAGGAATGTAGTCAAAACAAGATTCACTTCGTAACTGCTGTTTATTTCTAGGAGTCAGCCGCTGAAAACCTTCGAGCACTTCAGCTATTCGGCATCTTCATTGAGCCGCCTGCACACGAACACGACGAATGTAAGGGAAAATTTTGAACTATCAAGGCAGTGAACGGTAGCTGAAGGGTGGAGCGGCTCTGCCCTGACTCATGTGGACCTTCTCGGAACCTAACGCCTTACGTGCCAGGTGCGAGTGAGACTAACTAACGCCGATCCACCAATCACACTTAATGACGTCACCAAAATCCCTACGCTCTTCAGCCATTGTGTTCACTCCCTTTAACATTTAAGCGATCTGGATGGGGTGAGGGGAGGGGGATATGTGTGAATCTACTCCAAAAAGTGAAAACTCCTGCTTACTATCTACTTTTGTGGTATCTTGCTCGACCCAGTGAAAAAAAAGAGCACACAAATGCTGGAACCAAAATTTAAAAAATGAAGTCAATATACAAACGCTAAAAATCTCTGAATCACATTGTACAATGGTCGCCCTCTCCCGCCCCCCCCCCTTCGCCGCGACCCTTTGCCTTCTCAATGTACATGAAGCTCCTCCTTCTTCATGCGATAAAAATGGGAAGTGAAATAAGGCATACTATTGAGAATGAAGGGAGGACACGTCATGTCTTTGAGAATTCATGAAGCCTTTCTGTGTGCTCTCCGCTTCGCTGTGACCGACCAAATGTCACATCTACTTCACTTTACCGACCCCTATCCAATCCGGCATCCGCCTAATAAACGTGTGTGTGGCAGCACAAAGCGAATATTCACTTGTCAAATCTTGCTAGGACTTCACAGTGTTTCGTGATTCAGATGCTGAAAAGGAGATGCGTGCCCGCAAGGACCTCGTGAGGACGTACCGCGCTGAAGCAACATATGCGGTGTCCAGTGGCAAATGGTGACCATTTAAGAATGTCCCTTAAAATGTCTTCAATAATCAATATTTTCAAATGCAGGTACTTCGAGTTTGAAATCTTGACAGCTGGCTTTATGAAAATCGGCTGGATGGATGTCGGAGCCTCACCAGAGATACAACTTGGCCACGATGATCGAGGATATGCATTCGACGGGTTAGTCAAATTGGGTTCCATTCGTTCTTCTGATTATTCAGCTTATAATAAAATCTTGACAGAGAGTCTGCTTTTTTGCACATTTGCCAAACACTTCCCTATTCACTGTGTTGGTTCAACCCCTATTTTCTAAGATACACTTGAGCTGTGCCATTTCAGTTACCTCGGCCGAAAATGGCATCAAGGCGCAGAAAGTTACGGCAAGGAATGGAAGGTAGCGATTCTTATGTGTGGAAAATTTGAATTTTTAAATCGCTTTATTCCTGATAATACGTACCGATTTTCTCAAATTTAGATTGGTGATGTTGTCGGTTGCTTCTTGGATCTCAACGACCGGACTATCAGCTTCTCACTCAACGGAGAACTGCTTCTGGTGAGTTGTACAGACTGTTAATCAATAATCGATTAGTTTCGGGTATTGAGTAGCCACTTGTGAATGTTTATTAATTGAACGCCTACCATGTCTTAACTACCTAAAGGCAGCTATTACGATAGCTGGAGGGTGTTACGATTTGATGATGTCACTGCACGTCATTGGTGAGTTAGGCTTCTCGGCGCGCCGGGAGTGGGGATGGGATTGCCCTCCCATGACGTTCGACATCGTCAAAACCATACCATCCTTCAGCTATCGTGATCACGCCTTTGAACTCGTCAAACAAAACTTCACTTTGTAAATAACAAGAAAGCTAGTTTTTCTATAATGTCTCAAGGATAGGCTGTGGCTTATTAGTACGTAGCATGAAGGTATAGTAGAAAGCAGTAAAAAGGAATATTCCAGAGAGAGTGGAATGGATAGTTTCGATTCTTTTGTAGGAATAGAGCAGAATGAGTTGATCAAATCCTCCCCATAAATATTATGTTTCGCTAATTCCTTCGTTTAGGACCCATCCGGTTCCGAGATGGCATTCGATAACGTACTTTGTGGCGACGGTCTTGTTCCAGCGATGTCGTTAGGAAGTGGTCAAAGAGGTCAGTTCAAGCAATGATCAAACCCTTTTTTATCAGTAGGCTGCAGGATCAGTGTTGAAATGAAATTAGGTGTGGTGGTAGATCACCACTTCACCACTTGTATGTGTTATACTACGCCATGGGGAGGGAATCTTCGACGATTGAGAAAGTCGTACTTGCTTCCTTTGAAGATGGGTCGTATGGAGGGGACTTTCAGTGCCTTCAGCTTCTTGAAAGGGGTTGGAATAACTTTTGAGCTAATTAGGAAATATTTACATGTTTTCCATTCTTTTCCCGTTCGCAAAATTGTAATTCCGTTCTTCTACAATCCCAGAAGGCCAGAGTTTTGGGGAAACTGTAGAAGGTGAAGGGTAGGTTAAAGATTAAACATTAGTTTACATGGATTTCTTCGAGCAGAGGATCCGAAATAGGGTTATTTTCATCTTCTGCTGGCGAATTGCAGAATCTCAGTGAATCGGAAGTATGTCGATGGCATGGCGTATACTGATGGCAGAATCTTTAACCATTAATTTCAGGTCGACTGAACTTCGGTCAGCAGAGTAACTCGCTGAAGTTCTTCACGAGCTGCGGTCTCCAGGAGGGTTACGAGCCGTTTTGTGTGTACGTTCGCTAACATATTTATAAACTAATGCTGTTACCATTCAAAGGGGATCATTTTTGACCTTTTCATAACTTTGCTGCGAAAAGTCTAGAATTAAATTAATTTCTACTTTTTTGTAGAAATATGTACCGAATGATGCCGATGTGGTTTGCCAAGCAGCTACCTCGATTCGAAGACATCAGCAGTGGATCACTGCTGGAAATTTCTCGTATACCGGCTACCGGAAACAGCCCACCATGTAAAAGGTAAGCTTTGAGGTGTTCACTAGATCTTCTACAAGTAAGTTCCCTAAATTGACCGTCTTCAAGTTCAATATTTAAAACGAGGGATTACGATAAGATTGGAATGGGTTCATAGTGGAGGATGCTAAATAATGCCCGGCGAAAAAAAGCAAAGAAACCCGTCGGGGAAGCGCAAATGGTCCACGACCTTTCTTGTCCCAAAAACGCTGCGTTGACCTACAGTCGATAATGGACGCTAAACCGGATAAGAGGTCTTTCGCACATGTTAAACCGATAATCATCATCCTACCAGCAAAGGTCATGCACCGCGTTTCATGGGAATGCTATAGGATACGCACTCAAGGCGGAATATCTTTAAATGTCACAGCTCTGGGAGCTGCGCTTTGTGTGAGGCGCGCGCGAGTACACGGCGGTGATGAGGCAGAAACCAGAAAGGCATGGCCAGCCAGCACGCGAGCCTATGCCAGGTAGCGCACCTCTTGAACCACAAAGAACGCCAAATTTCGTTTCCCTTTGAGCCCATCTGGAATACTTTCCTTCTAGCTGGTGCCTGTTCTTGCAAGGCTGGCACACATACTTTTTATTACGTAACCTCTCGCTTGAAGGTGTGATGAAGTGATGTAGCAGAGAGAGGATCGAGCAGGACCCTACTAGCAAAAACGTTGCTCATTCCAGCGCTCCCCTTGCTAAACAGTTTGTTTATTAAATAGCTCCTTCTGGAAACATTCTACTAAAATCTTTTCTTGTCCGCAAACTACGGAGAAAGCGTGTTTACAGGGTGCCATGGCCAGTGCTTTGGTCTCGGTTCACATTTCGCAATATGTCTAGCGCTGCTGATCAATCAAAGCCTCCACTTTGGAATTGTAAACTCCACATTCATTGGGACTAGGATCCAAACAATAGTTTCAATATCTTCTCCTGATATTCGGTGGTTAGATGGGTAGCAAGCACACATATCGGCTCACTGGTACGGTAAGAACAGCACCTTTAAGATAACTCACCTGCTTATCTATGGACCTGCAGGTCACTGCACACAGATTTAAGTCGTTTTGCAATTCTACCTCAAGTTGAAAGCTGGATGGTTTTGTTTTTGGAAATTACATTCTTAGGTCTCCTCAGTGAATGTTGTCTTCAGGCGACGATCACCGAAAGCGGGCCATCCGAAAAGGCCACCATGGAGTACTATAACGCAGCTCTTCACTTCGCAGTGAATCAAAGCGAGACCTCGTAAAGAACAAGTAACATTTGAATCATTAGCCTTCGATTTCGTGCCGGTGCCTTAGAGAGCTTTTCATATGTTGGTGGTAATTCCTTTGGTCCGGAGTTATTTCCTGTCCCGTTTTCATCCCCGTTGTGTTTCCTTAAGATTGAATTCGAGGAGCTGAAGTACATAAATCTCTGCTTGTCAAACTAATCTACTTGTTGAAGGCATAGCCTGGGATAAAATTGATGTGTTATTCCACTCGCACGTCACCCTGTAGATGTAAAATGTAACGCCGTAATGAAAAAAGGGAAAAACCTCCGATAGGGGCGACCCTCTTGGGAGATAGCATTTTTTGTTTGAAGGCGAAGTGTATGGTGGTGAGTGGGGCATATGGTGAATCTTTGCCCATAGCGCCTCAGTCTTGTTAAGTGTGACTGCAAGCGCGTATGCTCTGCGCTTGCGTTCCAACTCCATATTTCTCGCGCCAGAGCTCCACTTTTCCCAGAAATTACGATCTTCGCCTCCGGGGAGAGGTAAGGTGTGTGGTTAGAACGCGATGGTTGTCAAATGAGATCGAACTCTCGAGACGTGGTGGGGGGCCACTCATAGAAGCAAACTGGTCGAGGACTGCCTAAGACTCCAAATCCGGCTTCATGGTAAGTCCCCACCACAACTAATCACTTGATCTCTCTTTTTGGCCAAGTGCACTTTGACACCACTGAAGAAGAGTGAAATGAATTCGCACTAAAGATCAGCTCGGATTAACCAGTTCGATATGGGCGGCTTGCTTAACTACGGTGCGATGAAGAAACATGAGTCAGTTTTATGAGACATAAAACATATAAGGTTTTTTCCAGAAGATCGCGATGCATTGGCGTAACAAACAGATGCTCTGTAGTACATTAGCGCCGAGGAAGTATGTATGGCTGCAGGTATCAAGGATAAATCGACCCCTCGCGCTGGACCGCCGGCTATTTCAGCAAGAATTTGCTTCAGGGATCTAAGTGAGGACAAAGAAAATCGTGTGATCACATCAAACTAAAACATGACTGATCCTTACATATGTAGCAGCTTCCCTCGGATCTTCGCTGGCGTTGCCTAACGTGCCACGATTTTTCCCATAGGGGTCAACCTTCGTCACATGCCTAGCTGTCTTCCTTGAAAGAAATTGTGTGGTAATATTCTGGCTCAACACTCAAAATCAAAGTAATATTGTAAACGTGATCTTTTGATGCTGAGAACCCGGCCTCACCTCGGTGATAGTAAAGATGGAAAATAGGTGGTGTCTATTGGTCACGAGATCTGAGCGCAAGAGTATCTAGCTCACTCCGGAATATTTCATATCCGGAAGCCGATTCGCTGTTTTATAACCAGGCGACACACCTCTATTTTCAGATGGCTCTCCTAAATGCCATTCGACCTCTATGAGCCATATTTTAATTATATGGCAAAAAACTATGGAACGAAAATACGGCGCGAAATCCATACATAACTTGATTTATTCACTCCCTCTATATTCACAAGCTTCTCATTACCGCCTCTTTCCTACTACTCACTGTCGGATCTAAAGCATTCCCCTCTGGGAGGTACCTATATAAGGAGGCATTTTGTCGCTATTGGGCATATTTCTGTAGTTTGAATGGAGCTCGGAATTGGGAGCTTACAGAAGGGTCTGACATTAGTTGCATTGAAGGGTGATCGTAGGGAGAACGGATAATCGTTTTCGATGCCGGCAAGTTTTTGCTATTCTCGCCGTCTGCTTCCCGCCCGCCTGTCGTAGGAAGCTGCAGCGCGCGCTGTAGCTCCCAGGTACCTCCATCTAGATCAGCACTAAATCGAAGGATGTTCTAAGACACACAAAGAAAGATCTACTCGCATATACAACTTATTCTCTAATATGTTTAGTGGAAAAAATAAGATTTCCTAAAGTCGTTCCATCTTCCGTCAATGCTTGGCCTCGAGACTTTATCCTCCCGAGCTACGTAGATGATAATCCGATCTCAACGCCGCTCCAAGCAGGATTCGTACCGATGTGGATCACGACAATGAACCGTTGCTTTGAGGTTTTGCGTTCCAGCGGCTACTGTACCAATTAACCCTAGCTTATGAGCGTACACTTCGATCTCTTCAACTGGCGTGTTTTTATGTCGACATAATCACATTGCAAGGTGTTGCTTCTCTGATTGCCGCTAATATGAACGGCCTCCATACATAATGATGCTCCGCTTGCCGTCTCTGTTCAGATTCTTCGAATGCCGTTTATCCAGTGGGTAAACCCAGAGCAATTTTTACAAAAGTGGGGCTCTCCTAAGGCTATGGAGTTCATTTTTCACCTCCTACGGACGCTCTGCAGTTCTATCCGCCCAGAATGCGTTATTCTCCTCCACCCTTCTTGCACCAGTCCAAACGCTTTCTAATACCACAGTACCATTTTTCTTCATAACGCACTCACTCTTATCTGCGCAACATCCATGAAAGCCGCGCCCTCGAAGCAGCACGGCTGAGCGATCATCGCTCTGTGACGTAGAACTGAACGTTGCACACCAGAATCCCGAGTCAAGACTTGTGGCTTGTGGTAACGGGCTAATCTCGCACGTACTGAGTGTGAACCGAAGTTCAGTTGGTAAGCCTGCCCTTCGCGCAGTGTAGGATGGTTATCCTTAAAAGGCTAAGAGATGGAAACATTGCGATCGCTAGCAACCCGGAACCTAGGCACCGTTGTCTGCGGTAATGATGTAAGACTGTGATTAAGAACCGCAAACACCCCCAAGCTTGCACTGGAACTGTTTTGTCCCACCACTTCTTATTCATTGCATGTTATCCTTCGACCAAAAATCGCTCAGCGCATCATCCAGTGGCAGCTAGGTAGTTTTGGATCACTACTTACCAAAGTCCTCCAGTCGTGTCACTATATCCGTAACCTTAGGCGCCCGTCACTAACTGTTCAGTCAACAGGTGACTTCGTAGAAGTGCGTCACATCTGATGGAAGACTACGGTCGTCTACTCTTCATTCGATGAATGATCTGTAGCTCTTTACGTGCTCACAAAAATGGAAGGCGAAGAACCGACATTGCACGAAATAGGCTACGCAACCGCCTATCACGGTCGCAACTGACACACACACGGTACACCAGCCGTACGAGTAAAGTCGAATGCAACGATCGAGTGTTGTTCCACGTGTGAATCCAGAGTCGTGGTATGTGCATGCGCCATATTCGCAGTAATGTCAAAGAAGATCGATGGCGTGTAAGCATGATGCTTTGTGGCCAAACAATGGGGCCAACAAACGATTTTTAAGTGAACTCATAGGTTATCCCTTCGCCATCACATTATCATCTACTCTGCTGTGTGTCCGGGTTACTGTAACCTACAGTAGCGGTCAAAAGTGTTCGCCGAAACGATTTTTAGTGCATTATTTTTTCTCGCTTGAGCAACGCCCTCCAAAGATTGATATACTATGTTTTCTAGTGTTTTTATATCCTCAAGTCTTAAAGAATCAGGATATTCAAAAGAAAAAATTTCGAGGCCACCATTGATTTTTTCTGGCAAAAAAAGAGAAGCACGAAAAACCCGTTTCGGTGAGCGCTTCTGACCGCTATTGTACCTTGATTGGCGGACCTCTAGACTGATCTGATCTGGAAACGTACATAAGGCTACCTAGTCAGAATCACCACTTCTGCAACATTGTGCAGCTCATCTAGCAAAAATCATACATTTCTTCCGATATTCGCTTTTAATACATAAAAAATTTGGTTGCTGTATTAATGGATGACCGACCTCACACGCTTACGATACGACTAAAGCTACGTTCCGCGTTTGTATAGAGGGAATTATTGTGCCTGAAGATGGAGACGAAAAGGTTGAGATGGGTGGCGCCTCCTACGGTCTCAACAGCCCTTCCTCTTGCTACGTAGAGTACTGTGGAGATGTAGAATTAGGCAGTGGTGAGGGTTAAACCGCAGTGTAGCGCGGAACATCTAAAAACTTGATAAGCAACAGCAGCTGACGATTCACTTCAAGTGATTCTCAATAAGTCGCTCACTTCCAAATAAAACATACTAGATTTTCGTTCTTCGAAGACAATATCTTGCGTTCCGTTTGATGTGAAGACATCGCATCACTTTATCAAGCTGCATGTTTAAGGAACGCATTACATTTAAGGGGTGTCTCTGGCTGAACTGCGCAAGAAGATCGTCTGGCGGCCGAGGAACGTCTGAGGGAGATGGCCGATCGTGAGAAACCCCAGAAAAAAGGCGGAATCCTCAGTCGTCTACGCGATACCAGTCACTCTCGAAAAAAGTCGGTTTCCTTTGTGTTATCCTTTGGCTAATCATCTCTTTATCGAATGGTGTGATATTCGACTGAATAGACCCAATATCATCAGAAAAAGTTCACAAATCAGCTTTCATCGCAGTTTTGCAAAGTCTTATATGGATACTTCATTGCTAATGGGATTAAACTTGACTACTGAAATATATAATGAAAAAAAACACAAAAAAGCTTCGGAATTGTTTTGAGTCCTATTTGGTTCGAATGATATGACTCTAACATGAATGCACTACATAGTTTTCCTCGGTCATTGGTAGTCCCTTTGTAATCATGCCACATTTAACCTGTTTTCCATAGATTTTGGAATACATCCAAAGGAACTTTTTAGAAAGGCCACTCAATCGATAGCGATGTAGTTCAGAATTGTATATAGTTACCAGAGCACCAGTGACCTTCAGGGGTCTCTGGCTAATGAGCTGCGGAACATACTAAGTTTTTTGGAAATTCTAACCTCTTTTTGACCCTTAGCTTCAAATGGGCATATCTTGGCTCAAACGGAACATTTTTGATGGGAATGAAAACTTTTACATAGAATTCACACAGTGTCGAAAAGGACAGAACTTTTTAAAGGACCTGACATGTATGCAGCCACTGAGGTCTTCTTCCCACATGTAATCAAATGCGTGGTTTATCTCAGGATTTTGGATGATGGAGTTTACAGACTGCAAAAAAAATATATGGATTAACTCAAAAAAGTATATAAATTAGAAATGCGAGATTATCCTCCAGGAATTTCATAATTATTTTTATAGAACGGCACGGTTTCAGAGTCTTCTGGGGTATGTGATTTTGCAGTGTTTTTTGAGTAGCCGTTTAGTCAAAGTGACCTAGTCGTGAAATTTAGGAAAAAAAACATATACTTCCTAATATTTTGTTTTCCATAATTTTCTTCAATTTGGAATCCGTTGATGCGTGTGCAACGGATTAGGCTTATTGCTTATGATTAGACATCACAGAGATGCCAAATCGAAGGACGACAAATCGGGCCGCCTCAGTACCGGAAAAGCGAACTGGCGTTCGTTCGACTCCGCCAGCGTGGATGCCGCTTCTGATGGAGCACCACCCACTGGGCAAAAAGATGTCCTCGGTAAGATATTCCTTTTAATGGCTTCATCAGTAGGGCTGCGACTAGCGCACTTGCACAAGAGGCCCCATTCCTTTCATATAACCTGCTAATTTGATGTGTGACGATGCCTAATGTGGGCAAAATGAATTGGTAAGTTCTTGTGACGACTTCTACTGTTTAGAACACCTTTTTCTGGATATGCACCACCTGAGCAAAGTGTTAGTGTCACACTGAGGGGAGCTTAGCGGGCATAAAACTCATGCAGAGAAGGCAGGCTCGGCGGTTGCCGGGAGGCAGGTGGGTAAGGGGGAAGGGGCAAACCGTGAAAAATACACAATCTACACATAACCTAAGGCACAACCACGAAGAACACCATATTTCGGATTAGTGTACTAGGTGGGCCTGCATCTGCAGGGGCAGAGACTTGTCACTTCCACCTCGACGGCGCGTGGAATGGATGCTCGTGGGTGACTTTGTGTTAAGCCATGGGAGCAGTTGGGAAGAGACGCGTGGGAATAAACCAGCTTGGTGGATAGAGGTGTGACCATATTCGTTGATGGCACGGAGCCAGTGAGTACAGAGCACCTTCCCATGGCAAAATGCTGCTAGAAGAGAAAGGGACCCTCCAGCACATACTTGGCGTTTTTTCGTTCTTCTTTTATAGTCCACTTTGCACCTCTACTTTCATTATCGAGCGCATTTACCGCATTAATTCGATCGTGAAGTGTATCGCTAAGCTGGGAAGGTCCTTCCTTTGATGCCATTGTTAGTTTTCTCCAGGGGCGGAAGTGGTGTAGTGGCAAGTGGCACGCTCACCACGCGAGCGGTCCGGGGATCAAATCCTGGGTCGTGAGTCGCCCGGGCCAACCAAGCCTTCCATCCCTCCGGGGTCGGTACCAGACTTGTCTGGGAGGATAAAAACACTGACTTGTACATCGGCTGGCCCCCGCAAGTCATTGTATAGGCCACATCGCATTCAAACGCCACTACGAATGTACAAATGGAAGTAGAATGCGTGCCGCATCCCAAAAAGGGATTGATCAACGGCAAATGCTTTATCCCTTATCCTTTTTAAGCTTTCTCCGTAAGCTCTAAACCATGGATTTTACATGATCTTCAGCTTTCAATACCGAGATTCAACTAGCGACGGTAGCACTTCTGAGCACCTCTGCCCCAGTTTACTCTTACTCCAAAAACTCCATTGACCGCTCAACATTAGCGCTTGCATTTATGACTCCTTCCTCCAGACAGACCCATCCCCAACCCATCCTGATACGCGTTTGACCCCTTGTAATACAGTAGTGGTCGAATTTGGATATTTACATATTTCGAAAAAGAATACCATTCTGTTTTGTCCAGTTGAATCAGGGCTGTTTGTTCATGTTACATCCGAAGTGAAATGAGGTTAGAGTAGGCATACTGTTTGGTTTTTTAAGCATCCGCCGACATGCCTTCATCTGGTCCTGGTCGGCAGTTGACGATACGCAAATCTTCGATGAAAAAGAAGAAGAAAACAAAGGTGAGTGTGCATGGTTCATCGACTTTCCATTAGTACGGATTTTTGTTTTTTTTTGTACCATCTAGGTGTTGTTTATTTTGAAAATTATTGGTGACCAAGCAGATTTTAGCGAGCGGTCACGCCTCTCATGTTGTGGTGCATTACTTCTCTGAAGAAAACCACCTGTACATAATTGGCACAAAAATGTCAAACTCTAGAAGAGGGCGTGGTCTTGAGCCACTATTTTTTCCTCGATTTCTGGGATCTCTGGATGAGATTATTGGGAGGCCAAGGGTAACATCCCCGCACGATATATGTCCGTGGGTGACCTTTCAGTCAGTCACTCAATCACATCTGCAAATCTTCCCATATTTCACTACTTTGACCTGCGCTATTTAGTAATGATGTGTTTAATTTATAATGTCTTGAAAACAAAACTAAAGCGTCCAGCTGGCCAGAGAGGTGTTGGTAGAAAAAGTCGCCAATGAGTGCGATGGGTAATGGAGCTAATTCGGAGTCGTCACCCGTGGAAGGACAGTCTTTAAGTGAACTCCACCTATCGCACTCGCTGCTCCAAAGCAGAAGTTTACTATTAGAAAGCAGCCCATTTGAATCAACGAGGTGATAAGTGAAGCCGGGATGAAGGAAAACCCATGAGAAATGGCCCAGAACCCAACATCCCTGCCCTGTGGTTTTCGCACTGGTGCGACTCTCATCGGTGCCGCCCTCGCCCTCTG